GTTCTTGGTGTTATGTTATATTTTGAATTAAAACATCTAGACACAATACTAATTAAATTAACACGTTTACGAACATTTGTTTGTAGTGAAATTAAGTGAAGTACTCAGTGCATTCGGAAACAAATATACGAAACAATAGAATTATGCCTAATTGAGAATAACGTATGGCAGCGTAGGATTCCGCGGCCGGTGTTTGTGTTAACTAGGCTACCCAGGACGAGCCGCGTCACTGACATTGTCACCGTCACGGACATAACGTTTCGGCCAGCGAGCGCCAGCAGTACGCTTTGAAGAAGGCCCCAGTACGCTGGTCGAAACTTTAGCCACCATGTCAGTGACGCGGCTCGTCCTGGATAGCCTAGACAACTGAGAATAACCTATTTCGAGAAAGAGAAGCATGAAATAAACTATGAACAATGCTTTGCATTGAACTAGTTCTAAGCCAGTATTTTTTTTGTTGATTTGAGTGTACTGTTATGGTAAGAATCTTTTCAGGAGGAAGTTGTTGAAAAAGAAAGAGTTCGTGTGTTCCGCGGAGTGTTGGGGAGCGCCCGGCTCCTGCCGGCCTGGCTACATCTCGCTTCGGCGCCACTGTGCCGAGTGCGCCACCCGCCGTCTGTTTACGAGCGGCGCCGCGTGGGCGCGCGGCCAAGGAGCGCGGGCGCAAGCGAACGCCCTCCCCCGCCCCCGCCCCCGTCTGCGTGCTGCCCGCGCCCCATTGCCGCGGCCACGCACTGCCGTTGGCCCCCCAAGGGTCGCGCCTTAAGCCCGCCAACTGCAGCAGCAGCCCGCTGCTCTGGGCGGCAGTTTTCCGTGGTTCCTTTGATTGCAGGCGCATGCCGGAGCAGTACCTCAACAAATGGATCATGTAACGCGCGTGATCTTTCCTTCCTCATCCTTGACTCTTTCTCTTCCCTCTCACCTCCTTTCCTCACAACCTTTCAAGCACAACAGTCTTTCTTCTTTGAAACTACACATGTTGGGGGAGCAATTAAAAGCTTGTGGCTTGTCGCAATCGGGGGGTTTCCCGAGAGGGGAACATCCTAAAGGGAAAAAAACTGTGTGTCGACATGTAGGGAGCACCGGATCTGACAATCCAGCGGTATCACTTCTCAGTTATAATATTCCCTACACTCATGGAATTAATGACCAAACCAGTTGACGCGCACGGAAGCACGAAATACTTATTCCGATGTGATAAAACAGTGATTCTCGTGTCGCTGAAATTTCGAATCATTATCCTATTCACGTTGTAAAAGCCATCGTGATCTAACCGAATATCAATACTCTTCTGATCAGAATACCATTACGTCCAATGTCTCTATTACCCTGTTTGTTTACTGTTCAACAGTGCACTGAATAGCCGTTTGTGCACAGTCCATATGCTTATTTAATTATTTAACGTCGAAAACAGTTAAAACTGTGTGACGTAATACGGGGAGAGTGACGTAATTCTCTGCACGTTTTCTAATATTATGTAATCCCTACCCTAAGCCATACACGAGTTGAATCCTGAATACAGATAAAACGAGTATTATGGGCAAGAATCGTTAAAAAAATTCGCTTCAGAGTAATAAAAGCTATTTGCAAAGGTAAACCAGCTGTAGACTTAGCTGAAGAGCGCAAGGGAAGGCCTTTTCCCTCGCAGCTCTGGGAAACGGGGCGGGTGGCGCGGGCGGGGCGGCGCAGCTGCTCCCGGGCGACGCACTTCCGCCGGTGTAGAAGAGCGCCTGCGCAGCGTCCGCTCGCTTCCCGGCGCACGCGCGCCCCTGGCGGCGGCGCGTCCGCCTCGGCCGCTCCGCCGGAGCACGCGAGGGGAGCCGCGCGCGGGCGGAGACGGCGCTCGCGAGGGCGCTGGGGCCGTCCGCTCCGCGCAGCCTGTGCGAGACCGGCGTCGCGGCGAACAGCGGCGTGCACAGGGCCTTCCACAGTACGTCGCCTTCACCTTCCGCGCATTGCTCTGCGCAGTGCACAAACTACCCTCTGATCTGGCGAGCAGTGTACTTCGATTAAAACATGAAGTCCGACGACACTCCGTCATCTGTGACGCTGGTATCCAAATGGGAGATTGAACGTCACTGCCATTCAAGCTCTCGATTGGATGACAGCGTCACAGCAGGCGGAGTGCCAATGAAGTTCGTGTTTTAATCGACGTATAGTAGTCAGCAGTCTGCATGCGTCTGTGCCAGGCGGCCGTCTTCAAATAATTACATATTGTATTTACGACGTGCAATGGAAGCAAAAAGATTAAGATCAATGTTTGATGTGAGATAAGTGTGTTTTGATGTGATGTGATAGAGGTTTGTAAACGAAACTTTACAACTCCATTACATTAGTGATGTTAGATCCATGTTTGGCAAAAACTACCAACAACACTTTTCATCCATTTCTTCTGAAATTTTCGGTCATTATTTACTGCTCACATTTATGTTCTAGTACCTTGAATCGGAGTATTTCCACTTGGATTTTCGTTCATAATCTAACGTTAGCCTTCAACCATGATGAATAACTGAGTTGAACCAAATAAAATTCATGTAATACTCTTCTACAGAGCTGAATTCGACAGATGATGGATCTACTTCGCCCAGGGGGATCATGTTTCGTTAAAGGAACCACGGATGGATGGATATTACGAACCACTTCAAGGCGAATTTACTACGTCCAAGTAGACAGTGATACAAATTAAACCCTCCATGGAATAAGCAGAAATGCACAGTCCAATAGCGGTTTTAATAAATGTGACACTCAGGACTGAATAGTGCTGTAAAAAACTGACTTAAGAAAATTATGTCCGTCAGAAGTGACGACATATTGAGCATATTCGGGTTTGGTCTCGTCCGTGAGAAGCACTTGTTAATGGAAAGATAGGAGAGTTGATGGAAGAGACTAATCTCATGCGTATGTAATCAACCGGCGCATGGCTGTAGCTAGTGAGCCTAGCCACCCTATCGCAACACATGTACCTTCGGTTTAACGAAACACCTCCAGAAATGAATTCCCGTGTGCGTAAAAGTGTTTTCCGTTTTCAGGTCGGCATGAACAATCGCATCTGAATCATGCACATGCGCTTGAAAACGACCTGGCTAGAGCCATAGAGAAATGATAGCGATCTATGTTAGAACTGCAGTACCGACTATTTGTCCATTAATACGGTTTTTACCAAGACATTGATGCATTTTGGGCTACTAACCAGTTCGTCTCGCCTCACGGGAAGACAAAATAAACCCTCTTTCAGAAGTGTTTATTACATTTTCCATGCGTATGTTCGACTTTAGACTCGAACGGCTTCTTTCTTCAAAGCTAGAAGATGTACTAGACTCCATATAATCATAATATGCGGACGGCTAAAATTGAGATCAAAAGATTGAAATATAGACTATTGCATTTACCAATATACTTAAATTACAAAAATTAATTTACAAAAATTAAATGACAAAATAATTAAATAAAAAGTAATTAAATTACAAAAATTAGACTATTGCATTTATCAATATACATTAAACTTTAACAAAAATGTTCTAAAGCTTCTTTCTTCATTTATTACTTCTTACTTTTGCAAACATTTGGAGTTGGGTAAGTCACATAAATAGTTGAAAAGTCGTCACATTCATTGAATTTCAAAGGTAGTGTTTAGTTAAAGAGACCTGTATTTGAGACAGTTGCCTCTTCTATTTAAAAATCTGGACAATGTAAACCATTATAGTAATTCCCGAAGGTGTTTATTTGTTTTACTGAAATATGTTATCACTAGACTACTTTCACGATAGCACTAAACCACTATGATCAAATAGGTATACGTAAACATTTCGGTGAGTAGTGAGTAAGCTTTGAGTACACATTTCGTTGTTCGACATGTAATTTGACCTAATTTTCGGCTAACATCAATGTACTGAAAATTAATTTCATAATATTCATCCGTTCGTCACCCACAAGTACAAGATAAACGTCATTCAAATTCTATGTGTTCAATGTGTACTATAAATAAATACCTAGGTAGACACCTGATATCTAATGAAATTGCTAACACAGACAGCCGATAACTAAGCACATCTTTGAAAGGGATTTTTAAAATGTTACGTCTGGTCACCACTTTTGTATAGTCGTGAAACTAGGATGTAAAAGGCAAATATATTACAAAAAAAGATCTCTCAATGAGGTTTGTTGACAAATATCAATATTTACTTGTGCCCCCAAATTCCCCAACAAATACTAAGAGTGGTTTAGGCACTCAGTATGACAACTGTGACGAAAAGCAACGGTATGTTTGTTGGAGATGGTTTAAGAAGCTAAAAGTACGAGTAATTACACCTCCAATTAGCGGGAAAATAGTCAGCCGCAGAGAAAATGGACGGAATATGTTCTTGTGTTAAACTTCTGTGAATACAGTCAGTATAAATCCGGCTCGCTCATGGGTGAAGACTGAAATGTCCTGACATGCTATCCTTATCGAACACTTCAGTAGGCAACACAAAAAGAAGATACAAACATTATTACCTAACAACTTAAAATTGACATAATCGTGGACCTTTGCCATTTTGAAATGATTGCAGTCTTTGTTTTTAAATGTTGAATTATAACATTTGTATACTTACATACAACTATTTCTTAAACATCGTCTTAATTCATCGATGAAGTTTTCGTTTTTTTAAATATCTGAAGCAACTTGATGGATTTCTTACTTTCTCTCTTATTTCTCAACACGCCTAATACTAATTGTAGTGGCCACAAACAGAAATACACTAATTTAAGAACATTTTGATTGACTTCTAATGGTAGAGAAATATATTTCGAAAATATGGTAGAGAAATATATTTCGAAATTGCGAGGTCCAAGGGCAACACAAATTCATACCGACGTATTTTGTGTAAAACGGTACCAAGATGTGTAAGCGAATACTCATTACGTTTATCGCAGATACACATTTTAAACAAATTAAATTGTACTTCTTAATTAATAAGCAAATGCAAAACTTGTTATTAACAAAGAAACAAGACAAATAGCATACAATTCATTTTTAAAACATTTTATTTAAAAAGAATGTACAAAAATGAGGTCTATGGAACAAGGTTGATGGTGAGATTGACATTTAGGAAATGATTGGACATCTGTAAGGGACGCCGTCCTTACAACAGTATTCACGACCCGCAGACAAGTTGGTATTCATCCAGCGATCTTCTCCATTCTTTATGAACAGATACGCCTGCAAACATAAATTAGATAACATTTAACGGACAGAGCAATACAACACACCCTCGCTCACTTCGTGAAGGAGTACAATAGAAAATAAAAGAATGAAGGTCTGTTATTCTAACTCCTAATTTACCAACATTTCTGTATAGAGAATAATTTTTTGAACGATATGCATTTATTTCTTAGTTTATTGAATGATAATCAAGCGCAACTTAAAAAAGTACAAAGGGCTACATTTTATTGATGATTCATTTACTAAATGAGGAAATATGTAGAAAATCTTAAAAATATGATGTAAGAGACAGTCATTTACATTTAATAATTGACCATTTAAAAATATTAATTTTTTCTTGGTCAGTAGGCCCTCAACATCCTGGTAAGATTCTGGGTGCAAGTTTTTACACGAATATTGATATTGATTTAAAACGCGAGTAAAGTATTTAACATCTTGAAAGTCGTATCACATTTATTACAATTATTTATTTAAATGAAATAAATTACTTTTATAAATTTGATTTAAATTTACCAACTGCCTAAACCATATAATACATTTCAATTGGATTCAAAGAATTTAGGGACAAATGTTTTAGCTATACTAGCTTACAATATTTATTGCGAGCGAAATGAGGTTTATTTGCATGAACAAATTCTTTCATACATATTCCTGTAATTAAGTGAACATTTTTATTCCAGAATATTTCACTCACCCTTTCTTTGTGGACGTCTCTGTCAATGGAGCCACACAGGATGGCAGGGCTGTTGGGGAGATGTTTCACCACCTAAAAAGGCAGTGCATTGGCATTAAGAACATTTTTCAGTCAACTGCAATAAATTGATAGAAATACGTGATTGGGTAATTTTTGGTGTCGGGAGTTAAGAGGTCATTATCTGAAATTAATCCGTGCTGCTTTATAAGTTTATAATTATATAATGTTCACCAACATAAATATGTTGGATTTCAAGACCCAGAAAGCTCATCGAGCAGAAAAACGGTCACAAAGTGCTTGTGGAATATTTTTTGTTTTTTGTTATTTAAATTCGCATCAACATCTAGGTCATTAGCGACCACTATTGCATTTAACGGTATGGTAACTGTGAAGATGACATGATACGGTGATGATAAGGGGTGAAAGGACGAACACAAATACAACCACGCCCGAGGCGAGTCTCGAACACGCGATTCTTCGGTCCGAGATCGCTCCGGCACTACTGCCTTAACGATCTCGGCCATCAGGCCCGACTGAGGAATATTTGATTCATATAAATTTGGACTTCTTTTTATGCAACTTCCAACGAATTCTTTAACCAAAATATTGACAACGGATTAAGCAATAAACCCGTGTTTTACATCTGACCCGTGGGCACTGGGGAGACCGAGTACGCGTGCAAGGAACTCACGATGTCGAGGCAGCGGTTGGTGCACTGCTTGAAGCCGAAGGGCGTGTTGGGGAACATGTCGACGTCCTCGTGCAGCATAGCTGGGTTGCCGCGCGGGGGGTCCTTGCTGCCGCGCGTGAACTGGCCGCTCAGGAAGACGCCGCACGAGCACATGACCTTGGTGGGCGCCAGCAGCAGCGGCGGCGCCGCCGTCGCGTTCACCGCGTTCGCAGCCACGTCCTCGCCCGCCGCCGCCGCCTCCTCCCTGCGGCACCACACGTCACTCCCTGCGCCTCTCCCGGCGACCCTCACTCTGCAGTACTCTAACCACTCAAATAATTTAGTTGCAATTCGAATTTAAAATGGCTTCGTGATTTAAGGTTTACTGCCTCCCTCCGCACTGTTGTACCCAAGTTGGCGGGTTCAAACCCGATCGAAGCCGTGGATTTTTAAGGGCGAAAAAATCCTTCGTACGCCTTCCTTCGGAACGGAAGTAAAGCCGGCTGTCCCATGTTAGTAGATTCACCCGCATGTAAAAGATCCTCAAGCCTAAACGACGCCTCTAAGCTGAATTCAAAATCGCCTCGTTTCTCGCCCAAGAAATATCTCCTTCCTCTGGTAGTTGGTGAAAGGAGCGTAGCGAAATTTGCGTGATCAGACAGAAGAGCAGGCCTCATGGTCTGAGTCTCGTCACGTAAAATAAAGCATTAATTCAATTCAATTCTCTCTGCTTGTGCTGGCCCAACAGCCTCTGATGGGGCCATGGACTAAGGGTACGTGTGATTAGCACATAGACATACCTACGCGGTATTCTGGTCTTCTCATCCCGAGAAGCGAGCTTTCCCGTTGCCACACAGCAACAGAAGGACAGTTCATACTTTACAATGCCCGGACCGAAATCGAACCCGGGATCGCGTCGAGGAACGCGAGCTCGCTGACTAGTGAGCTACCCGCGGAGCTTAAGGTATGCGACAATACTTTAATTAATATTTTATTTTATTTAATTAAAGAATTACTTTTCATAATGTTATTTTGTATGAGTGAATCGAAGTTAAAATACGAAATATTTAAAAGGTAGCCATGCTTTTTACTACTTCACGGGTACAGCCCAATATCATTAGAATTATTGGACTTAGAAATAGTTATTTTATGTTACTCTTCATAAAATACCCCAAAAATATCATAGTGAAGAAGACAACTGAAGAAGGAAGAAAGTGAAAAGGAAGAAAATGAAGACGAATAGAAGAAAGAAAAAAAGAAAGAAAGAAAGAGACAAAGAGACAAAGAGAGAAAGAAAGAGAGATAGAAGGAGAGAAAGAGAAAGAAAGAAAGAGAGAAAGTAATAAAGAAAGAAAGAGAGAAAGAAAGAAAAAGTTAGGAGAAGTAGTAATTTCCGAATACCAAATAATGCGTGATGCCAGTGACATACCCTCGTGCAACGACCGCCAGCAGCAGCAGCACCGGCAGCAGCAGCGACAGCGATGAGCGCGACATGGTGGCGAAGCGGCGACAGACGCACTGGCGGCGGAGACGGCGCGCAACCCTAATAAGGCCGGACGCCGCTGCTGAGTCGACAGCTTTGGCTTTGGCGTTGGCATTCGCGGGGGCGGCGGGCGCCGACGTATCCTTTGGCGTTTCTTAACGTCTCAAAACACGGGCAACTTCGCCTTCTCATTGACCTACTTCTATTGTGTATGAGTTTTTTGAAATATACTTCTTTCGTAATTAAGATATTCTTAATCGAGTACAGGAAACTTTGTTAAATGAATTTTCTACTCTAAACGTATTTTAATTTGTAATTATATATTTTTATAAACAACTCTATTTTATGATTGAAAGTAAAATAACAACAACGTGCTATGGAGAGACATTGAAGTGCATTAATTTGTTTGCGGTTCCTAAGATCATTTCTTTAATTTCTTGCATACTACACACGTAGTGTAGTGAAAGTTATGTTATTTAAATTAGAAACCTACTTCTGAAAATGCTAATGACCTAATATTGAGATATTTTCCCACTCTTTTACACCGTAGAATAAATCTACTAGCACAATGACTACTTTTGGCTAAGTTATGTGAGTTATCAGAACTTTAGAAAGAAACCGTCATTCTACCTAGCATATCATCTGACTGTACTTGATGTACTGAATAAGATCATACATAAGAGTGTGTTCAGAGAATCAAATATTACATAATCATACTATGCCCCAAGACCTGTGACAGTGAGGCACATTAAGGCTGTTTTAAGTTTAAATCCGCAATATGGCATCTGATCCCTTCCCAATCAGGTGAGTCAACTTATTGCACTGAGGATTCAATCCGCCTTGCTTAGTACAATTGTGCTATTATGTTATTCCGCCTACTGCGTGTTCTCTCACACTCTCAAACTTCGCGTACCGTCTGAAATCTCATATTCAGCGCATCCTTGCTTGTGACACAGCTGGCAACATGTGACAGCAAACTTTTTACGCTTAATGTTTTACTCTTTGCAGTTAATCATGATTGTTCTTTGTTTTCTAGCTTAATCAACCATTCTCCTGACGTCTTTATCAATTTATTTATTCCATATTAATTTTCGCCAAAAAATACGAAAAGCTGATATTAGCTCTGCTCAGTATATTATGCTTTCCATGTTATTGTTTTTATTAGCCAACTGCACATCCCATTAAGGACAAAGGTCTCTCTCTTCTTGAGGAGGGAATTATTAATATTTCTTTTTAATGAAGTGATAGGATGATAATGATAATGATGAGGGGTGAAATGCCGCGTACAAACACATCCATACCCGAGGCGAGATTCGAACCCGAGATTCTTGAACCCCTTGGACCCAAGATCGTCATGACTTTACTGCCTTAGAGATCTCGGCTACCCGGAGTGGCTCCATGGGCTTAGTTTCTATCAAAAGAGCTAAATTTAATTTCGTTTTTTCGGAGATAAATTTTCTTTTAATTCTTTCTCAGAATTGTTTCATTTTCTACTCGCGACTCGAAAGTTAAGTTAAAATAACGAAAAGAATGATTTGGAGGAATTACGGGAGAATTGTTAATTGTAATTGAAAAATATGAAAGTCAGGAAAGGAACAAAAATATTCTGCAAGTAACTTGATTGAGAAAAGTATCTTTTCGAATGTTTAGTAGTATTTCTATACAAGTAGTATTTCTATACGTACTGTTTCTATACAATTAGAGACTATACTGAGCATCGAAAAGGAAAGCAATATTAATTTTAACAATAACATTTAATGTATTATATACCATTTAGATTGTATAATTGTAAAGAACCTGTAACAAGTATTGTACTTCAGCTTCTGGGTCAATGACCCACATCTCGATCAGGTTTTCGCCCAGTTTCCCTGATCCCGAGCAAATGCTGAGATGACCCCTTATTTTGCTTCTGGACATAAATGTAACATCAAATTAACTTCTCCCTATAGCACGTCACACACAGTTTGTAACTGTTTTTGACGTAAATAAGTAAATAATAAAAATGATTAAAAATAAAATGAGTTTTTGAAACTGAAAAATTCGCAATATTAATAGGTACAATTAAAACCAAGATTAAATCTAGTGTACGGCTCATATAATGAGATGTAAAATGAGTTTTTCCTAGAAAACGTGGTTGTTCAAAACAAAAAGCATTCATGTACTGTGTACAGATACCTTGTGACACAGTGACTTCTGAGGAATATAAAGCGACTACAAAACAGTGAAAATGGAGAGTAATTGGAAAATGTAGAATATTTGGAGGGAGGTCATTATGAGAAGTAGTTTTTAAAGTACTTTGTATAAGGTCAAAAGAAATTGTAAAATTCATAGCTATAATAATTTGTTTTACGTTTTCTATTGCTTTACAAAACATTCACTCGCAAACAAAACATTCATTCACAAACATCCAAAGAAAACTATTTTACTAAAAATAAGTTTAAAATATTATCACTAGTGTCCTTATTAGTAGTGGGAGTGTACGACACCTAGGGGGTATAGCTCAGTGGTAGAGCATTCGACTGCAGATCGAGAGGTCCCCGGTTCAAACCCGGGTGCCCCCTTCTCGTTTTTGTTTTTAAAAACTTCAGCCATTAAATGTAGCTGTCTTACTTCTACGTTGGTTAACCCTTTTATGTAATGAAATATGAAAAAAATGCTCAGTTAATTACTTCAATAACCTGAGATGTTTCTTCAAATAGAAAACTTAATTTTCTAGCACATACTAATGCTCTATAAATAATTACTTAAATGCTATTTCAGGATAACAATACATAACACCCAACAACTTCCGTTAATTTCAGGAAATTTATTTTCCATAAAATACTTTCTTGTTTTGAGTACTTTTTAAATATGTTTCTAATTAAATTTCGAAAATCCTTCATTCCTGAGAATATTTTGGGTGAATTCTTTTTATTTTCTGGAAATAGTATTTATACATTTTCGCAAATTTGTATTTCATTGCGTAAATGGTAAGAGTCCTGAAGTACTTCAATTACCGATTTGATTGACTAGTATTTTCCCTCTACGTTAAACCTGCTATAAACATTTAAAACGTAATTTTTAAAATTGTGCTTTTAAGAGAAAAAAATCCATATATCGTACTTATAGGATTCAGGCAACCTTCCTGTTACTCACGATCCATTATTTCGGAGAAGTGTCAATGATTTGATGCGTCTCGGCTACTGATGGGGAATTGATTATTTTTTCAAATCCTTCCTGAACACCCTAAGATAATTTTTAAAAACGTGAATTTGAGAGGTTTAAAATAGAGATTTTGAAGTGTTTTGAAGCACTTATACAGTGCGTACTCGATTTCTCTCAATCGAATCGAATGACAAGAGTGTTAATAGGATCTAACCAGAAAACTGAAGAAAAACTAGAGAAGCATTTTTTGAGGATTTTTGAGGAACTTATAAATATCATCTTTTAGGCATAGCATGAATCGTTACCATTGGATTAATGAGAGCGAAGGAAAATAAAATTAATTTTCTAATGAAACGTGTAACATTCTAGGCTCGATGGTGAGCAATCCATGCAATTTACTAAGTACTAAGTAAGCAATTCATGCAATTTTTATTAAGTTTCATGTCATTATGATCTTGCATAGCTCAGATAATTCTATTTTTATTAATTTTTTAAAGTGATAATATCCTCCACAGGCGCCTTGCTAAGCTAGGTGCTAATTTATTGCGACAAATAAATAAAGGGAGAGAACTATCTGTTATTGTTTGCTTATTACTTAACGGCTCAGGAGAACGTTTTTGCTCACAAACGTCATACACCCTGTTTTGCTTCTTCGAAGACACGCGGGATTCGTCGACGCATGCCTTTCTCCACGCCGCGGCGAATGGTGGCGCAAGCGTTTGACATTGGCGGGCGCGATGTCCGGTGCGCGCTTCCTGTCGCAATTGTGTTTGTCGGCGCGTTTTACTTTCGCTGCGCTGGCACCCCCGCGTCGCCACGGGCGCTCCTGCATCGGCGGGCGGGGTTTGGTCGCGGACGACGCGCACTCGTGTGCGCGCTCTAGGAGACGTCGGGTGCAGCGGCCGGGGGAGGGCGCGGGCAGTGGCGTTACGATCGCCTCGGAAGTCGCATCGCGCCCGCACTGTACGCGTTCAGAAAGTATTTTGTAGTGAAACGTACATATGTTTTACTCGTATTTTATTCAATTTAAAAGTTAGTGGTCTTTGAATTGTGTTGTGTGTTCATATCCTGTCATACATAATTATTTTCTCCTGACTATAGAATAACAAAACTACAGGGCTTCAGAAGTCGACTTCGCTCCCACGGTTCGCGTAACCGGAGCGGGAGTTTGTACTTGTGTACTTGCTCTACAGCTGAAAGTTGCAAATGGCAGGCACCAGTGGTGTCGTGTTTTTTTTTGTTTTTTTTTTGTTTTTTTGGGCGCGGAAGGCCCCAGTGTCGAATTGTTAGGGTTACAATGTACCAATCTTAGAATTTAGTTAGTAGTGTTGAATACAGATATATTTTGATCGTATTACTCTTAGTATTATTGATTTATGTATCTGTTTAAAAGAAGCAATTACTTAGAAACGTAATTTGTGGTTATTTGTTCCATGAAATCTTAGTCCCGGTTTTTCAGAAACTATTTTACAGTGAAACATGTCTTTTTCTCGTATTTTATTCCGTTAGTGAAATTTGAATTGTGTTTTTTCATTTTTTGGTGTACGTAATTTTTTTCTCTTGACTACAAAGTAACAAAATTAAAAGGAAGGTTTCAGATTGTGAAATTACATATTCGTGTACCAAAAAGAGGCTCCAGAGAAAGGTAAATGAAAGCATTTGTGTGCAAGTTCAGGGTTTTTGCGAAGGTTGAAATTTATTCATAATCTGATGCATGGCATAAAAAGAAAGAAAGTCAGTTTCAAGGCGAGTAGGTGAACAGACCCACAGCTTGATAAACTGTTGGTTCAGGAGTTGCGAAAGTTGTTGTAAGACTGGTACACTGTATACAGTATTACACTACTCCAAAGCCTAAAGTATGATGATATGTTTCTAACGTATTTTTACTTTCTCGCTACGGAGTAGAGAGAAAGTTATGTAATGTTGCGGGAAAAAAACAGCTAATTTTTAGCAGAAAACTCTTATTACAGTGCCCTGGTAACGAAAAAGTGGATAAATTCAGTTGCTGAATTTAGAAAAATCCTCTCTCACATGGGGTAGCCAGAATTCATGTTTTGTGGGTCCTTCATACCAAATAAATCAAATGACGGCAAAACGTCTGTACATCTGTCTGTCTAGCCACCAGTGAAAAACGCTAGTGGCTAAACCGTTGTGCCGATTTTCTCTAAAATTGATATTCCCCAATCGATTTGGCTGATGTCGTGGTTTATTAAGTTTAAAACGGATATATTAATTGTGGGAGGTACTTTACATTAAGCGCCTGGGATATTTTCCAAATTAAAAAAAATACTCCATCGTTTTTGGTTAAATTTTGTTGTTGAATAGTGTAAAGGACGTTTAAGAGAATGATGTAGATTTCACATTCATTAAAAACTCTAATTTTTTGAAAATTTTGAACAGCTCAAAAATTTTTTGGAGTCTTCCTACAACTAAAATATTAAAGAGGGAGTTTTTTCAGCTAAATATTTTACCCTTTATGGTCATGAACAAAGTTTCGAAATTTTGAGTACTTTTTGCATAATTTTGCATGAATGTACGGGTGAGAAAGTATTTTTATTTTAGCTCAACTGGTTTCAATCTTCACGATCCAACTAGTCATACGCCGAGCTATCCTAGTCATCAGGGTTTTCGTGACCTATCATGTCAAATCTCTCATTTAG